CTTTTAAAAAAACAACTCAATGTTACCATGGATATAACTAAAATGTCTAATCTGATACCCAAAAAACAGGACATGGTGCATCGAAAAATCGAAGAGTCAGGATACAAGAGATATTAATAAGCATTTTAATAAGTTCCAGTATTTTGTATGCAAGGACAGCCAGTTGATTAAGACAGAGTCAGCTCATCCAACCCTCCCCCAGCTCTCCTCCTGACCAACAGAGGAAATCTAGAGCAAGCTCTTCTAGTTCAAGGATGTGGGAGGGCCCACAGCTCTCTCCCACTAAAAGAGCTATTTGCCACATAGAGCAAAATGTATAATCCAAGGATAATGAAAGGTTGATGTTTTATTACAAAAAAATATATATATTTTTGAAGAGGAAGTCAAGTGATCTGAAATTGAGAGTCAAGGAAAATTTAGAAGAGCAACCAGCTCAGACAATAAATTGGGCCCATGTGAGTGATTCCAGATCTCTGTCTTAGGCTCACTTTCCTTTTGAAAACATTGCAAACATCACAGACCAAGCTAAGACCTTCATCAGAGAAAATCATAGCTGCTGTTTCTATTTGACTTTTACTAAAATATTCAAACCAACCCTCCTTAAAAAAAATACAAAGTTTCCAAGAAATAATGAAATATGGATTGTTGTCCTTTAACACACATGCACACATGCACACAAATAGGTAACCTTGGTCTCTATAGTCTTTTCCTTCCTCTCCGTGGCATTAAGACTCCTCCACCATGCCCCAAATGCCCTCCGCTTCCTCCATCCTCACAAACACCTGCTCTCAGGATGGTGCCTCTCCCAGTGCCAGTGCCTCTGATCACTCTTTGCTTCAGTCTTTGGGACCACAGGGAACACTAATTTGTGTTATTACTCACCTGAGCCTGGCACAGTGAGAAAACTAAGTCAACCACATTACCAAGAAAATTACAAAATATGTTCCTATAGAAATGGAATCTTCCCTTTTCTGGATTATCCACATCACTGTCACCCTCTGGGAACACAAATACGGAGCAGTGACTGCACTAAGTTTTCATTCACTGACTGCTATAGCACCTAGGACATTGGGACATTTGCACCAAGTGCACTCTCTTTGGGTGGAGGAACCTGTCAGAAAGGCCCAGCAAAGGTCTTAAAAGCTTGTGAGCAGCCATCTAAGATGCAAAACTTAGTCTTTCCTCTTCCAAAGCAAAAAAAGAATGAAAAAATTAAAAAAAAAAAAAAAATTCACTGCCATTAGTCTATTCTGACTCACAGCAACCCCCACTGGATTTCCAAGGTTGTGAATCTTTTGAGAAGCAGAGTGCCTTATCTTTCTTCCATGGAGCAGCTGGTGGGTTCAAATCACTGACCTGATTAGCAGCCAAATGCCTTAACCACTACACCACCAGAGCTCTTAGAAGAAAATCAAAGACATATGGAAACAATTAGCCCAAGGGACTAGTGGACCACAGGAATCTCAGCCTACATGACCTTAAGACCAGAAGAACTAGATGGTGCCCAGCTATCACTGTCAACCACTCAGAAAGGGATCAAAAACAGGAGATCCTAGATAGAGTGGGAGAAAAATGTGGAATAAAACTCAAAATCATAGAGAAAGACCAGCCTTACTGGTCTGATAGAGATTGGTGAAATCCCCCAAGAAATCCTTCTAGTCACCCCTAAGGCCTGGAGTTTAACTCATTCCTGTGGTTTTTGGCCAAACAATAGACAGGCCTACAAGGCAAACAATTATACCAAGTAAGTACACTCTTTAGAAAAATCAACCATGGGAGATCAGAAGGCAGGATTTGCACAAAGACCTCAGAGGGCAGGAATGCATGGAAAAGAAGAACACAAGGAAAAGGTAACCACAGGAAGCAAGTGGGAAAAGAGCTGTTACATTGTGAGGATTGCAACCTATGTCATGAAAGAAAATGTGTGTGGATTGTTAAATGGAAAAGAAATTTGCTCTGTAAACTTTCACCCAAGTCACAGCTGAAAAAGAAAGACTTAGCAATAAGGGAGAAGATTAGTCCTCACTACCTACCTTCATACCCTCAAAATACCTTTGTGCCCCTGGAAATTCCTGCCCATTTCTGCCTTGTTCAGAAAGAGTGGAATTCCTCAGTGTACCCACTTTTATTCCTTTGGTGCTGCTGCTTAGTGATGGTGAGAGGTGAATAGCCAGGGAATGGAGAGGCAAGGGAGCAGCTTTTCATAGGATGAGCCTACGCATTTAATGGAGTCCCTGGGTGCATGAGATCTGGTAGTGTAGTGCCTAAGGCATTTGACTGCTAACCAGAAGGCTGGCAGTTCAAATCCACCAGCCACTCCTCAGAAGGAAGGTTGGGCAATCTGCTTCCGTAGAGATATCTCCTCGGAAACCCAAGGAGGGGTCGCTATGAGTCGGATCTGACTTGACAGCAGCAAGTGAGCTGGGTTGTGCAGATGGTTAACACTCTGGGCTGCTAATTGAAAGGTTGGAGGTTCAAGTCCATCCAAAGCTGCCTGTGAAGAAAGACCCAGAAATCTACTTCTAAAGTTTCAACCACTGAGGACCCAATGGGGCACAGTTCTATTGACACACATGGGATCACTATGATTTAGAACGACTTAAAGGTAACTTTTTTGTATGCATTATAAACAAGCAAAGCACATCTGAGGCACAAATATGAATATACACCCTCACCCCACCACCACCATCAAAAAGGAAACACAGCCTTTCTACTAATTCACATCCCCCCACCCAGGGCAGCAAATGCATGTGGGCCGCCTTTCCCTCTTCAAAGCTGCTTGTGGCCTTTTTAACCTGATTCTACCCCTGCTCATACTTGGTAGGATCCAGATCATGATGTGTACATAGGATAAAGGCCCTCCATGGCCTTGTCATCCAGAGGCAGAGAACAGGGGACGACACTGCTTAAAAAAAACCTTGTTCCTCTTGGGTTAAGGCATTGTCTGACCAACTGTGGCCCCTGGGGAATGAAGTCTGAAGATGTGGAATGACTGCATTGCGCGAGAAGATTGGGCAAAGGTTTTTTCTATATCTTAAGATCAAACATGTGTTCTCAATGCAAAATTTCCTCTATCTAGTCAGTTCTTTAAAAAAATCTTGCCACAGAGGGACCTCTGAGCAGGCTACTCTAAGTGGACTTCTTGGGGACTGTCAAGTCAGGTATAAGCCAGAGACAGAGTTTACCAATCAACTGCCTCTGTTCAGGCCACTAAGGCAAATGCCCTCCAACCAGAGGTATAATTTTTAATCCAGGGTTCCCAAGAGGAACCTGTGTTAACTGTCCCATAATAAGATCTCCAGGAGGGTGTGGCCCCTCTGTCCAGGACCCTTGGAGAACAAACACTAAGGGGAGATGTTTCCTTCCGCCTTTCTTCCTCGAAGTAAGGCAATTCTTAAAGTAGAACTCTCCCAGAAGCAACTAATCAGACTGGTGAACCAGAATGTTTCGCTTGAAGGAATTGCTGGAAGAGTGCAGTGGAAAACTCTGTGAATTTGGCATTCCCTAGGAGCCCTGGTGGCACAACAGTTAAGCACTCGGCTGCTAACCAAAAGGTTTGTGGTTTGAACCCACCCAGAGGCTCCAAAGAAGAAAAACTTGGTCATCTCCTTCCATGAAGATTACAACCTAGAAAACCCTCTGGAGTACTTCTACTCTATCACATGGGGTCAAAAATTGACTCAATGGCACCTAATAGCAACAACAGACCTGACTTGGAGTTCCTGGGTGGTGCAAACAATTAATATACTCAGCTGCTAACTGAAAGGTTAGAAGTTCAAGTCCACCCAGGGGTGCATCACAGGAAAGGTCTTGTGATCTACTTCTCAAATATCAACCGTTGAAAACCCTATGGAGCACAGTTCTACTTTGACATACATGGCGTCCTCATAAGTAGAAGTCAACTCAACAGCAACTGGTTAGACCTGACTTCGGACCTCGGACTAGCTGTGTGACCTTAGTAATGCTACTTAACTTCTTTAAGTCTTAATTTCCTTATCTATAAAATGAAGATAATGATGCTGTGCTATGAGGAATGAATGAAAAACATATATACCAGGCCCTTCAAGTGTTCCTTAATGAATGCCAGGTCCCTACTCCTTCCTCTTTATACCTTTGCGTTTTGCACACATGAATCAGTGGTTATAAAACTTTAGTTCTTATAGGAGTCACCTGGAAAGTTGTTAAAATGCAGACTCCTGGGCTTATCCACAAACTTTTGTTTCAACATTTCTGGATGGACCCCCAGGATCTGTATTTTTAACAAGTACCCATGGTGATCCTGTTGCAGATTGTAGTCCATAGACCACACTTTGAGAAGCACCAGAAACAATTGGGTCTTTGGGTGAGTTGGAAAAAAAAAAAAGAGAGAGAGAGAGAGGCATTAACTGGATTACAGGAAGAGAGCCTTTTGCCAGTGGCATTTAATCACACACACCAACTGAGAGAGAGCCATGGCAGGAATGACCCAAAACAATAACATTCCAAACAACCAGTAATAAAAAAATTCAGCTGAAAGTGTTTCAGTTCTGACACGAAGAGTTGAGGGATGCTCTCTCAGACCAAGTGTGGGTCCTCCCTGAAGCCCCTGCTAGCCCGTCCATGCCAAGGCAGCTGCTACAACCCCTCTCATCCAAGGTACCAGCCTGGGTAGTGATGCTCCAGCACCACATATCCCTCTACCTGCCTTCCTGCCCAGAGGGCTGAGCACACAGTCAGAAATTAAAAAATGTTGGCTGATATGAAGTTAATCAGGGAGAAAATGACAAAGCCAATTGTATCAAAAAGACTTTACATCCCTCTCTTGGACCAAACTCAGGATGTACATTCAAAGAGTAACTAATAACTGCAATGAGAAGGGAACCGGAGAGTTTGTTCCGGATTCCCTGTAAGGGGAAATTACTAAACTGACATTTGGATCTGAAAGAGAAATAATTCCCTCCTCCCACACCTTCCCACCCACTCCCATCAGATCCAATCTGTCCAGAGTCCCACCCCCCACTCTATGCAAACCATACAGATCTTGCACTGGAGCAGCCCCCCACTACAGAGGGGGAGCAGAGGGCACCGCTGCTGATGGCCATGCCCCCCAGGCCACGCAAGACCGTAGAACTGAGGTCCCCGCAAACTGCGCCACCTTGGGAAAGGCTCACACCTGTGAAACAGAGATACCAGGTCAGAATTCACTCTATCCCAGATGTACTATGATGCAGAATATTTTAGAAGCAGTGACTAATTCTCTTCACACTCAGAGGGATCAGCAACATGAATCTTTTAAACCCACAGGTAAAGCTAAATCTGTTTCCATCTGCTTCTTGAATGTGAAATGCAATTTGGCCTAGACCAATGTTGAGATGCGTTTATACAATCTTTGCATTAAAACTGATGGATTGCAGTAGAGAAACTACCTAGAAATATAGTGGTTGGAAAAGTGAAGGAAATAGGTGAATCTGAAGTATATACCTAGCCTGAGGACTGTGTACATTTTGGGATAAAGATTTAAGGGTTTCCTATAGTGACACCCAAATGACCAGAATATAAAGCTAGTATTCTTTATGAAAACATGGTACCACTTGAGCAGTATTCTGTGTGTAGAATCAAATAGTAGGTCAGAATCTGCCATGCTCATTACCTTAAGCTTCAGGGATATCCCAGGAGGGTCTATATTTAAAAAAAAAAAAAAAAAAAACTCACTGCCGTCGAGTCAAATCCAACTCATAGCAATCCCTCCTTGGGTTTCTCAGGCATGTCTCTATGGAAGTAGATTGCCCAGTCTTCCTTCTGAGGTGTGGCTGGTGGGTTTGAACCACCAGCCTTCTGGTTAGCAGTCAAATGCATTGGGCACTACACCACCAGAGCTCCCAAGTATTTAGAGGTTGTCCATTTATTCAGATCCCAGAGACCTGCAGCTCCAGTCTCCCTCACCCAGTTCCCCATAGATAGAGGCTCAGCCATTTGTCAGGTGCATTCTGATACTAAGACTATTGACATCCAAGAGAGCCATGCCCACACACACCCTCAACTTACAGATGTTGACAGAGCCCACGCCTTCACACAACCTGCAAGGGAGAGGGAATGAGCAGTTAGAGCTGAGTTCCTCTGCTTCTGAGGCAAACACCTACTCCCTCTACATGAAGGAAGGGCAGAGTCTTCCTATTGCAGACAGCATCAATGTTGGCAATGCTCTCTGGCATCCCAAAAGGACAGGGTATGCTGGGCTGCAGGATCCAAAAGGTGACTTTATGCCTCATTGGCTTCTCAGCCATGGAGACTTCAAGGACTGAAAGGTAGAGATGAGGGTATCATTTTCCTTGTTGCTTGGCTAGAAATTCCAGCAAAACCAAAGAACAGATAAGGGGGTAGCTATTGTGGGAAAAAACATGGCTATCATGAACATTGATTCATTTTTATCCCATGATTTTAAATGCTTCCCTGGGTATCTACTTGGTTTCATTAAATTCAGAGGAAGTCTGGAAGGTCTGGTGGTTAAAAGCCTGGATTGTGGAGCCAGACAACCTGGAGTCAAATATGGTTGAGCTTCTGTTTCCTCATAAAATGAGGATGACAATACCTGGTTCGTAGGATTTTTGTAAGGTTTAATTGAGTTTTACAGGTAAAGTGCCTAAAATAGAGATTGGCATATAGTAAGTCCTAAATAACTGTTTTCTGTTAACACAATAAATACATCATTAATGATGAGACATGCATACCACTAAAGTGGGATTTTCATAAATGTGCCCTCCTCCCTCACACCTACCTGTATTTTCTGTCCTACCTCTTCTCCATCTCCAGTATCTAGCTTCAACTCTTTTCCTCCAGGAAAGCTCTACTTTGACTCATTCTTCCCAACTCAGAATATCCCTTTCATCCACACATTTTCAGTGAGGATATATTAGTTTGGTTCACTTGCCTGCCACATGAATCTGACTTTGCCTTGGAACTATGCCCTTCCAGAATATTTTAGCCAAAGCTCATTATGCATTATGGCACTGTTGAGCCAAAATGTTGGCATAGGCCACCTCCAAATTGAACGATTATAGCTACTTTCGTTTTCTTATTGTCTACAATGAACATTGCTTGTGAAATCAAATTAAACATTTCAAACACTAAGAAGAAAGAGCCTATTAAAAGACCAATGGCCATAAAACACTATAAAATGCAGCAACCTTTTAAAATTTCATGTGTTGGGGACAGAGGACCACTCATTTTATGATTGAGTCACTAATACATCAATTAGTATTGTTACAGTGAAAACAAGTTTCAGTGCTAGTGAGTTGGGCATTAAGGGTCCAAAGGGGGAGAGAGCTCTGGTGGCTTCCCCCAAAGCCCTGAAACGCAAAGCTCCAAGCCCCAAAGTATGGCCCAAATCCAGCAAATGGCCCTACTACATTTGATGCGACTTCATGCCACATTTCTAATGCTAATTGGTTTAACAGCCTCTCTGTGGATATAGTTTCATAACAATAATCTGTTTCAATGTGGGCTTACTATGTTCCATCAACATATTTACTCCTCACAACAACCTTAAACCCAAACCCACTGCCATCAATTCCAACTCATATCAACCCCCATTGCGTTTCTAAGGCTGTAAATCTTTATGGAAGTAGTTGCCCCATCCTCCACCCATGGAGCAGCTGGTGGGTTTGAACCGCCAACTTTCTGGTTAGCAACCAAATGCCTTACCCACTATGCCACCACAGCTCCTTACAACAACCTTAAGGGGTGGATATTAATAGTAACTCTGTTTTATAGATGAGGACACTGAGACATAAAAAGTCAGGTAACTGGTATGTAGCAGAACTGGTACCTGAACCCAGGTGATCTGGATGCGAGCCCTTGATCTTAACCTCTACACTCTACTCCCCTGTCTAGCCTGCTTCCCTCGATGGGACCTACCTAAGGTGCACTAATGATGTGGCCGCCTCAAGGCTAGAGTATAAACCCGCATTGCTTCTCACATGCTGAACTCGCCTGCCCTGATTCTTGGCTTAAACTATTAGCACAGCCTGGAGTGTCCTTTTTCTCATTCTCTCAGCTCTACCACTTCCTCCTCTAAGAAGTCCCCTGAAAGCCTCCAGTCAGAATCCATCTCCTTGCTCCCTACTCTCAGAGTCTCAATAAGACACTAACCCCAGTCACTTGGAAGAATTACTTATAACTGCTCTTATCTTTCCCTGGGCAACAAGAAGTCTGTGCTGCTCATTTCTAGTTCCTGGTCCTGAATACCAGCCTGTCTAGGTTGATAGAACTCTTTGTCTGTGCATCTCAAATCAAATGGCCTTCACAAATTTTCTGAATGATTCCAGCTTCCAGAACCCACTGAGGCAAGATTGCAGATAACTTTCAGCCAATGGAGTAAAGTAGTTGCCTTGGAATGAGTTTTAGGCACAGCCTGAGGGGACAGTAGAAGAGAAAAGAGTGCAAAAGTGCTAACCAGGAGACTGATCTAACATCAGCTTAGCCACTAACTAGAAGTGATCTTGGGCAAGACCCTTACTCTCTCTGGGCCTCAGTTTTCCTATCTATAAAACGGGGAAATGGTTGGGCTCTATGATCTCTAGAGTTTTTCCAACTTGACCATGCTCTGCCTACAGGATTATAGTCCATCACTAGTAGCTGTTGAGTCAATTCTAACTAATTGTGACCCAATGTGTGTGAGAGAACAACTGTACTCCATCGAAGGTTCAGTGGCTGATTTTTCAGAAGTAGATCACCCAGAGTTTCTCCTGAGGCACCTCTGGGTGGATTCAAAGGGCCAAACTTCCAGTTAGCAGCTGAGTGCTTAACTAATCGTGCCACCCTGGGATGTCAGGTTAGAGTCCAGAAAGGCACTCTTCCAGCCATGAGAGATGTGAAGTGCTTCCTGGAGGCCTCATCCTCACCTGCTCTCCTCGCCCTCCAGCAGCTTGCGGTAAGTGGCGATCTCCACATCCAAGCCCAGCTTGGAGTTCATCACCTCCTGGTACTCCTTGAGCAGGCAGGCCATGTCCTGCTTGGCCTTCTGCAGGGCCTCCTCCAGCCCGGCCAGCTTGCAGCGGGCATCGCTGAGGGCCACCTCACCCTGCTGCTCTGCCTCGGCCACAGCAGCCTCCAGCTTGCAGCGCTGTGGAGGAAGGAGAGGAGGGAAGAGGCTTGGGAAAGGTGCAGGCTGTGGGGACCTTGGTTGTTCTCCAGTGGCTTTGGTCATCCTATTTTGCCTCCATTCAAAATAGTCAACCTTTGAGCTTTATTTATTTATTTATTTATAAGAAATCCATCAGGGTAAATTAACTAGGCGGGAAAATAATAGCTTATTTGCTGCTTTTCTCCTTCATTTTATACCACTTTAGGATAAAGCTTAAAACCATGGTAAGCCATTAGAGAAAGGAAATGTAGTACTAGAATAAGAATGAAGATAATTAGTGATGTTACCTCATATTTGTATGTATCTGTTAGTTTACAAGTTACTTTCACAGATGTTATCTTATTTGGCCTTCAAAAATGATTTCATGAACTTGTCACAACAAGAATTATTATCCCCATTACGCAGGTGAAGAAACTGAGACTTTGAGAGGCTGTGATTGCCGTAGGCTATCTAATTAATTGGTGCCAAGCCTTGATTTTCAGAGGCCTTTGTATAGGGTTTCTTTCTTTAGGCTATGGAGATCAGTATGCTGAAACAATTTCCCATTTGCAACAACTCCCAATTCACCAACTACAACTCCCACTGTTGCCCCACTTAAGAAGGTATATCAGAATGCAAGTAAGAATGCTGTTATTATGAGGAAAACTTGGAATCATCTCTAATTTCACTTATAAAAAATAAGCTATTTTCATATTGCAGTACGCTTCAGACATGAATAGTAACAAATTACTTGTGGCACATCTTATGTAATGGTTCAGAACAGCTCCCTAGAAGGAAAGGACAGACACTGAGTGAGGTATAACCAGGAACTTGGTATTATGATAGCGGTAGTATCACAAATCAGTGGGGAAAGAACAGATTACATAATACGCTTTCTCACTATATGAAGAAAAATTAAATTTGAACCTTACTCACTCTATATACAATGAAAATAAATTTCAGAAGGCTAAGATCAAAACATGAGGAAAAACTATAAAACTAATAGAAGAATAAAAGTAGAATACATCCATGAACTCAAAATTTCATAATTCTAAACCATTAAGGGAAGATTAACGATGGATTTGGCCATATCCATGTTACACCTATTAGATCCACGAAAATTAAAAAGTCTGATCATAACAGGTGCTGGAAATAGAAGCCTTTAGGAGCTGGTAATGGGAGTGTACTTCACATAGCACACCCAGGACTTAGCAAAAGTACATATGTGCCTATCTTACCACCTACCAATTCCATTTCTTGCTTTGCATCTCCAAAACATCTCTCACACAAGTGCACATTGAAACACATAAAAATGTTTGTGATGCAACTGATTGCATCACAAAGACTTGGAAGCATAAGGCTAAAATATAAGCCTCACCAAAGATAATAGCAATCCCTGAAGGTAGGAGGAAAGCAGATCAGAAGCACTGAGTGGGATCTCAGCATCTCTCTAACCTGCTGCTTGGCATTCTCCACCTCAGCCGTCAGCCTCTGAATCAGACGGTTCAGCTCATTGAGCTGATCCTTTGTTCTACGAAGGTTCTCACCCTGCTGGGTCACTGTGGCCTTCACCTCCTCGCACTGCAGGTTGGGAGACAAACATGGAGAAATAGCCAATGATTACTACATGGGTTGCATCACTGGGGAGTGGTGGGTTATCCCTGTGGATAGTCCAATGTCCCCCACCCAAGTGAGCCAACCCACTGTTCTGCAGTAGTTCTACCACCTTATCCTGCTAACTCGGCTGCAGCCCCTCTGGAGTGCACAGATACACTTCCCAGGGAAGGTCCAGATTCATGGTGATCTCTCTTGTTTGTAGTGAAGCCTGGACTCAAACATACCCAGCCCTCTCGTTCACCTTGTTTTGGTACCAGGACTCAACCTCAGCCCTGCTGCAACTGGCGATATTATCATACTGAGCCTTGATCTCAGCCACAACCGAGTCCATGTTGAGCTCCCGGCTGTTGTCCATCTTTACCACTACTGAGGTGTCTGAGATTTGTGACTGAAGGAGACAGATTTCCTGTAGGAGACAACAACCAGAGTCCTGAGCTACTGATCCCCCTCCTATTCTCCACCATCCATCCAAAAAACAGCCCCAAACCTGAAACCTTAGGAAACTACCAACACTTCAGGAAAATTCAAAAAGTGTGGTTTTAAGAGACGTTTGGGAAGAAATTTAGACCATAGACACGAGGCAGTGAGTAATTCTATTAATGTAATCCTATTAATGCCTGAATCAACAGAGGCAGGTATCTGGATCATTCTACCTGGGGTTTGAATTATCCAGATCAGCTGGAGTTATCTGTTAAACTCCATCAACAGATAATGTCCAGGTTTAGGTTCCTAAATTTTCTAACTGGGCTTTTGCACGACCTGAATTAATGAGATGATTGTCAAATCACCACTCATGTCATGCTGTGTAGACAGGGAATTTATCATGGTCTTTAAAGGAAGGGCAGCACCCATGCCCATTTTGGAATAAGAATTAACAAGAGAAAATCTCTTCTGGTCACAGAAGGAAAAGGTGTTCAGGCCCTAGGAAATTAAGCAGCTTTCCCTAGAACAAAGGATATAGGACAGTCCACATCCCAAGAAAACCCTCCTCTGTTTCCTTATTCACCTCATTCTAGAGATAGAGAGAAACTTACCTCCTCATAGAGGGAGTGCAGGAAGCCAATCTCTTCCCTAAGTGCTTCCACATTGGCCTCCAGATCTGCCTTACGCAGATAGGCACTGTCCACATCCTGGAGGAGACAGACAAGGAGAGGATGGGAAGTGGGATAAGCTCACCATTCCCTGGAGTCCTCATCACTCTCCTCTATAGGGAGCTCTGAGGCCATGTCCTAGGCCTATGGCTTGTCCTTGTCCATCTAGCCTACACTTTTCAAGTCTAATCTCAATCTCTCATCTTCTTCACCTTCAAGGCCCCTCTAGAAAAGACGGGGCCTTTAATATCTGTCCATTAACTGACATTATCTCTCAACCCATAAGCATGAGTGGGATTAGGAGTTTCTACCTGGAGAAAGGCAGAGAAGAAAACTCTGATCCCTCCTGAACTGGGGATTTTTGCTGAGGAGTGAAGCCTAATGTCACATCACAGAATATCAGGCTACTGCCTCTAAGCCAAAGTGGTCCACAGAGTATGAATGTATAGTGGTCAACAGTCATGGGTACAACTCCCAGCAGGTCTCCCAGGTCAAGCAACACCCACCCCCTAAATAGCTAACTCTTGCCTGAGATCAAGATCATGCCTCCATTGGCAGATTTTTTTATCAGCCCTTTCTCCATTCCGAGTACTTGGATGGTGCAAACGGTTAATACACTTGGCTGCTAACTGAAAGGCTAGAGGTTCGAGTCCACCAGAGATGCCTTGGAAAAAAGACTTGGCAATCTACTTTTTAAAAATCTTCGATTTCAGCCTATACGACTATGAGACCAGAAGAAATAGATGGTGCTCGGCTACTACTGTCAACTACTTGGAAGAGGATCTTTGTAGGAGATCCTGGATAGACAGGGGGAACAATGTGGAACAAAACTCAAAATCATTTGGGGAAAAAAAAAAAAGCAGGGAACAGGTTTACTGGCCCAATGGAGCCTGGTGGAACCACTGAGACTATGGCCTCTAGCTGTCCTTCAGGTCTGGAATTGAACACACACCTGTAGCTTCCAGCCAAGCAGTAGACAGGCATACTAGTTGAGCATTTATCTGAGGTAGATACACTCCTTGGAGAGAGCAAGTAAGAGAGAAAGAAGGGCTGCTCAGGCACAGGGAGACAGCTCAGGGGGTAGGAGTGCATGGAGGGATGGTCACAGGGAGGCGGTATCTATCAGGAGGAAGTGGGAGAGGAGATGTTGCATTGTGCTAAATAGTGGTCAATGTCATGAGACAAAGTGTATGTGATCTGCTGTATGGAAAGTGTATTTGCTCTGCAAATTTTCACCCAAATCACAATAAAAATTAAAATTAATTAAATAAATAAAAATCTGCTATTTAAAATTCTATGTAGTACACTTTTACTTGGATACACATGGGATCATCATCAGTAGGAGTTAACATGACAGCAACTGATTTGGTTCTCTCCATTCTGTGATTACTCACAAGTACCATGGTTGGTAAGCCCATTATTACTAAAGAGTATTAGTATACACTTTCACTCATCAACTTAACACCAAAGGGAAATCAATAACAGTTTTTCTCTAGCTTGTTCATCCTCTGCAATGTTACTGAATGAGAGCCACAGCTCACAAAATTACCAGCAAGTTGAGAACCAGCTACCTCTGATCTGGGAAGAAGGAAGGACGCAATGTCCACATGAGAGTGAAACAGATTGAAAAGCAAGCATTTCAGCTAATCCAGAAGTTTACAAAAAGCTAAACAGCATTATGATGAGGCTTCTTTTTTTTTTTTAATTTTTATTGTGATTTGTGTAAAAGTTTACAGAGCAAATTCATCTTCCATACATCAGTTCAGACACATTTTGTCTCATGACATTGACTGCAATTCCCCACAATGTAACAGCTCTCTTTTCACTTCCTCCCTGTAGTTACCTCTTCCCTGTGTCCTTCCCTCCCATGCACTCCTGCCCCCTGCTGTCTCCCGAAGTATACACCGCCCTTCTGTTCTCCCATGATTGATCTCTCCAAGGAATGTATATCTACCTGATGTAAATGTTCAGCTTATAATCCTGTCTTTTGTTTGGCTGGAAGCCATAGGAGTGAGTTCAATTCCAGACCTGAAGGGCAGGTAGGAGCCATAGTCTAATTGGTTTCACCAGGTTCTATCAGAACAGCACACCAGTCTTTTTTTCTTTCTTTTTTTTTTTTTTTAATGATTTTGAGTTTTGTTCCACATTGTTCTCCCACTCTATCCAGGATCTGCTACACACATCCCCTTCCAAGTGGTTGACAGTGGTAGCCAGGCATCATCTAGTTCTTCTGGCTAACGGTCATGTAAGCTGAGGATCACAAGGTCTATCAGTCCCTTGGACTAATTGTTTCCATGCATCTTTGGTTTTCTTCATTCTTCTTTACTCTGAACAAGGAGAGACCCATCGTTGCATCTAGATGCCGCTTGCAAGCTTTTAAGAGCCCAGCTGCTACTCACCAAAGTAGGATGTAGAACAATGTTTTTGTGTAGTATGTTATGCCAATTGAGCTTGATGTCCCCTGGGACCATGGTCCCAAGCCCACAGGTCCAACTACTCTCTCCCTCCAGGTAGCCACAGTGGCCAAGAAGTGACCACAACCTTGTCCTTTGTCAAAAAAAAAAAAAAAAAAACTCACTGCTGTTGAGTCGGATCCAACTCATAGAGATCTCTTCTTAGGTTTCCAAGGTGATATCACCAAGGAAGTAGATTGCCCAGTCTTCCTTCCAAGGAATGGCTGGTGGATTTGAACTGCTAGCCCTCTGGTTAGCATCCAATGCCTTCCAGGATGTACCTTGACATTCTTACAGAACATACAATTATGATGAGGCTTCCTTTTTAAGATGCTTCCATCAGCATAGCTTGAGTTCCTACATGGAAGCCGAGATGATGTGCACAGCCAAACCAATAGGCCTTCCTTTGCCAGGGAATCTGAGTGCCTTCCAACCAACAAGCTGTGTGGTGTGAACATGACAAGACATCCAGTGTCCAAAATTTAATTTTTTCTATGTGAGAAGAGTCACTCACCTTCTTTAACACCACAAACTCATTCTCAGCCGTGGCCCTGAATGCTACCTCTTCTTCATACCTGAGGAGAGAGAACATAGGTGGAAATGTTCCAAGGGCTAAGGGCCCTGGGCTGGCCAACAGAATCTTAAGTTTTCAAAGCTCCTTGATCCTGACTTTCTATGTGACTTGGAATAAGAGGTTGGTTTCCCTGAAATTTTATTTTCCAGCCATAAAGATTACATCAAAAGGACACTGGACCTGGAGGCCAAGTTCCTGGTATCTGGTCCCAGCTTTGACTGAAGTATCTGTAAAAGGTAAGGCAAGTCATTTAATCTCTCTGCATCTTAGGTTAAATTGCCTGGTGTGTAGTAAAGCATGAATAAATATTTGCAGAATGAATAAAAGACTAAATGCTTCAAAGACCCTTTCAGCTCTGTTGTTGTTAGCTGCCATCGAGTCAGGTCCTGACTGAAGAAGGTGACCTTATGCACAATGGGATCAGAGCATTGCTATCCATAGGGTTTTCATTGGCTGGATTTTCAGAAGTAGATCAGTAGGTCTTTCTTCCTAGTCTGCCTTAGTCTGGAAGCTCCACTGAAACTTGTTCAGCATCACAGCAACACGCAAGCCTCCCCTAACAGATGTGTGTGACTGCATGAGGCACGTTGGTTATGAACTAAACCCAGGTCTCCCATAAGGAAGTCAAGAATTCTAACACTGTCACTGCTCCCTTTTAGCTCTAAAACTGTATAAAAACATAAAGCTCTACAAAGCCACCTCTTCTGACATTCTTTTCCTCTTCTCCCAACATCCAAGTCTGGAAACAGCCCACAGCCTGGAATCTTACCATTGTGCCCAGACTACTCAGGGCATTTTCCACAGCCCTCCTCCACAAGCCTGGACCCATCCTCTTGCCCACGAGGTTTTTTTCTCTGCGGCAGCCCTATCCCAGCCCACCAAGAAGACTAGAGTTCCCAGAGTATGGTTTTCACAACTTTTTAATTACAGAGTAATTTGGTCTGCTATAAACTCTCAGTCTATAATTATTGCCCTCACACCTCCAGACTGGGAGACAGACCTTGACACCTGCAAATCGCAAATTGTATCTACTTTTATGATACCCCAAGTGAAGACCCACTGCTGGGTCCATCTGAATAGTAAAACCTGATCTTTCAAGACCAGAATTCCAAGGAAGGCTAGAACTACCAGGACTGGTTAATGCCAAAATCACCTTTCACTCTGCCTATAACTACGTGGTAAAGAGGGTCTGATTGACAGTAGGCCAGTGAGTATAGACTAACAGTCAAACTATATAATTCACATTACAACAAAAGATTTACATTGTGAATTGTGGAGTCTTGCACAGCAAGAGGCTGAGTAAGTAAAAGAATCATCTAAGTATATTGAATGACACCAGTCAGATCGTTTGCAAGAACCCTTCCCTTTCAACCCACCCTAGCACTGACTGTTCCCAAACTTGTTAAGCCCTGTTGACTTAGCTCCTCGTTTTCTATTTGTTGTTCTCTCTCCATCTTCATGTCAGCCTGTGCCCTGGATCTGTACCTCAGCCCTCCCAGACCTAGAGCTTTTCTTCTCACCAAATATTTCCCTCGCCCCCTATATGGGACTGCATAAGACAAGAGCCATGACAAAATGAAGGAGACCAATAACCTACAACAATCTTATAGGTAGTCTGGGATGACTCTGACTTTCAGAGCTCTCTACCTCTGCCAGACACGTATGGACCCAAACTGAGACCTACTCCCAGTTCCTATAACCACCCCCAGCCCCGTCATACTCACTTCTTCTTGTAATCCTCCAGTGCCTCTTGCACTTGGTTGTGCTCTGAAGCCAGCCTTCCGCTGTCAGCCTCCAAGTACTTGGCCTCCCTCCTCAGCGGCTCGATGTAGCTATTGAACAGTGGCTCCAGGTTGCTTTCACAACATCGCTGGTTCTTGTAGAACTCCCACTTGGTCTCCAGCAGCTTGTTCTGTTGCTCCAGGAAGCGTACCTACCATCCAGGGTGGGAACAAGAAACTCAGGAGGATCCCAAGGAACTGTCCAGTCTCCCAGAGCTTTCTCTGTCTTTGGGGATGACCCCTGGTCTGAAGCCTTTCCCAGGAGGCTAAATCATTTGGCAAAGTCTGCAAATACAACTAACAATCATTCCGCCACATAATTTACCCCATCCCATCTCCACCTCCCAGAAAGCACATAATTCATAGAGATGTGTTTAATTTGCACAGAATGAAATAACATCTGACCCTGGAAAAATATTCCAGACCTTGTGTGGTAAACTGAATAATGGCCCCCAAAGATATCCATACCCTAATCCCTGGAATTTGTGAATGTGTTACATTACAAGACAGAAAGGGCCTTGCAGACAGAATTAAGGTTATAAAGCTGATGATCAGGAAATTATCCTGGATTATCAAGATGGGCCCAATGTAATCACATGGGCCCTTAGAAGTAGAAGAGGAAGGCAGAGGAGTAACAGCGATACTTGAAAAGGGGAGCCAAGGGAGAGATTTCAAACTTGAGAAGGACTCAATCCATCACTGCTGGCTTGAAGATGAAGGAAGGGGAAGCATGAGCCAAGTCATGCAGTCAGCCTCTCAAAGCTGAGATCCAGGCCCTGAAAGCCAGCCAGTAAGGAAACAAGGACCTCCGTCCTACAACCAAATGAAATTCAATTTTGCCAAAAGCCTGAATGTCACTGGAAATGAATTCTCCCATAAAGAAATGCAGCCCTGCCAACATCTTGATTTTGGTCTTATGAAATAGTAACTTTGTGTTGTTTTAAGCTGCTAAATTGGTGGTAATTTGTTCTGCCAGCAATTAAAAACTAATACACCGTGACTCACCCTCGCTTTGATCTGAGGCACTGGAGCACAGGAGGGAGAACTCTGGACCAGGAAATAGGAGGTCCCTCACTGGCCGAACTCTGCCACCATCCAGGCCACCTTCCCTCTCTGAGCCTCCATTGTAAAGCGAAGCAGTAAAAATACATCAAAAATTGTACCCTGGCAGCCTCCAGGCCCTATCTGGCCCACAGATATTTTTTGTTAGGTCTGCACACTGTTTTATAAACACCTGAATTAGTTGCCAACATTTAACATTTTCTGACTGTTGTAGGTTGGATTGTGTGCCCAAAAAACACGTGTTGGAATCTTAACCCATATACATGTGGACTTGATCCCATTTGGGAATAGAATTTTCTTTGTTGTGTTAATGCAGACATTTAGGTGTACGGTATCTTAAGCTGATCATTTTTCAGATATAAAAGGAGTAACTTAAGCACAAAAGCAAGCAAGGACAAATGGGGGGAGATTGGTGTCACATGGAGATCACCAAAGAACTGAGGAACAGAAACTGGAAAGAGACAGGGACCTGCCCCAGAGCCAACAAAGAGAGAATGCCTTCCCCTACTGTCAGTGTCCTGAATTCAGACTTCTAGCCTCCTACCTATGAGAAAATAAATTTGATCATTAAAGCCATCTATTTGTGGTATTTCTGTTTTAGCAGCACTAAGAAAGTAAGACACTAGGCTTCTTGACAAACCAGAAGCTCTGGAAAAGCCAAGCCTGTGTCTGGAGGTGCATAGGAACTGCCCCTCTCTGTATGTCTGCCCCCTGCAGCTTGCCTTCACTCAGGTGATCTTCCTGGACCCTTTGGAAATTTGAAGTTACCAGACCTAATCTAGGTGATTTCCTCTCAAGCCCTAACTTCCTGGGAGTTACAAGTCTGGTACAAAGCAATTCTCAACAGCCCATGCTGGTGGGAAAAGGAACTCAAACCCTGATGATTCAAATACATTTTCCTTTAGCTTCAATATGCGGGCCCAGGAGGTAGGCATGCCTGCTCTGCAGCTTTAGGGCCACCAAATCAGTGCAACTTGCAGCCTGGAGCTCATCCTGAAGGAGAACACTGGAGGAGATGGCTGGCTGTCAGCAGCCCCAGGAGGATGAGGAAAGCTGGCCTGGTACAGTAATAGAAATCTCTTTCCCCAGACCTAGCTCTGACCACTCACAACAGAGTGAGCAGCATACATTGGCAATGCCCAAAAGGCCGCATATGGAGACCCTCCTCTAGAGTATTTGTTCAGAACCCTCATTGTGCTTTTGAACAAATTAGGAAAAGGCCCCCCCATCAAGGTAAATGCAGCCCTCTGCCAGAGCACCCAACCTGCTAAGCATAGCATGGGTTGTATTTCAACCTCTCCATTCCGTCCCTCTAGGCTGGTTGTCCTTGTGAGAGGAACAACATTCATGACTTGATTGATGATCAACTATTTTGTGCTAATGAAAGGGAATGGTGGCTTGGAGAGCTGGCTGTAGGTTAAGAATGGATGCACAGTACCTCTGCTCACAGACAGGCCTATTCCTGGTGGTGTTTAAGAGCAGAGCTCTCATCAGCCCTCACACAGGTTCATGCCTTCTTACTCACTCCTAAGTGTAGACATGTACACCTTTCAGCCTTCAAAGATGAGTTTTTTCCCCAGTGGACTTCAGTGGCTGTCCTCTCCCCAGAGATTAGACTGTGAGCTCTCAGAAGAGGCATCATCATTATGTCAGAGGAAACCAAAGTTATATATCCAATCAAACAGAACTCAGAAACTGCAGCATCAGAAAAGTACAACTGAAAAGTAAACAGGCTCTCTGTGGACCCTCCCTTAAGTTTCTCAACTGCCAGTCTTTAATCTATGTAAGTGTTGAGGGGTTGGTATCTTGGTCAGAAGCCCTGGGAATTCACAGCCTACCTACGGTGTTTCCACTACAAAGAATAGGGAAGGAGCCTCTGATCCCTCTTGGTCCTGGCTCCCTTCTTCATGCTGGCAGGGACAGCATCTCTTCTAAGAAGGAGATTAGACATCAGCCTAAGTGGAGACATTCATCCCACCCGATTCTTCTATTATATAATGCCTGATATCTGGAAAACGGAAGACATATGGAGGATTCTTCCAGCAACATTTGAAACTGAGACCCTGATTCAGCCATGTTCACATTCTGAGAATTTGAACTCAGTCAGTTATTGAGCTCCAGCTACCACAGCCCTTCCCAAGCCATGCCCCCAGGGAGTAACACACAGACCCACCTTGTCAATGAAGGCAGCAAACTTGTTGTTGAGACTTTTGATCTGTTCCTTCTCCTCTTGCTTCACGCACTGTGTGTTGGGGTCGATCTCCAAGTTGAGGGGTGTGAGGAGGCTTTCATTGACTGTCACAGTGGTGATGCAGGGGGTGCCGGGCCCACCAAGGACCCCTGCCCGGTAGCCAAAGCTGCTCCCACTTCGCAGGGGCCATCCACAGCTCACCGCAACCCGGGGGGAACCCACTGCACACATGCTCCGGCTGCCAAAACCACTGAGGCGTCTGTAGCCCGGCCCCCCAGGACTGCCCCCACGGTAGGTGATGGCACTAACACAGCTGTGAGCCCCAGGCTTGGGCAGGACGGCTGAGCAGGAGCTGAAATTCCGGGCACTACAGCCAGAGCTGATGCGGTAGGAACGGCTGGTCATGTCTCTGCTCTGCAGAAGGTTCCAGGGAAACGGCCTGAGAGGATACAAAGTCTGACCCAGGCTATTAAAGCTCCTGCCTTTTATCAGGTAGAGGACAGGCCTCCTGACAAGATAAAAGGCAGGAGAAAGTTATTAATGCCATTTATGAGCATGGGAATCTTCCACTAAGCAGACAGAGAGGAAAGCTGAAACTTGCCTCTTTTAATGGGCATATCAAGGAGACCCCACATCACAATAAACCTGTCCCTTGCCTTTTCAACCCCACAGGCCTGGACATATCTATTAAGTCCCTAATTTCCCTCCAGCCCTGTGAGTAGGCCAGGGACCATTATCCCACAGAGGCAAGAGGAGGCTTGGGCCAGCACAGTCCTAAGACTTGAAGGGTCCTAGGTCCCACTGAGGTTCTACCTGGCCTGTCCTCCCACAGTGAGCACATATTTCCACCCAAGGCTGCAGGGACACCTGGCCCATCCTTCCAGGTTGAGCACATGTAAAGGGCACCTCTTTAAGTCTTTACTTACTATAGCTCTTAACTATATTCTGTCTATAGTATGGCTCTTGGGGTTTGTATTACCCCCTTAAAGGCAGAAATAACATCTTCTGCACCTTTATAGCCCCCCCTCCCATGGCAATTAGCACACTTGAGACCATCAGAAAGCATTGGCTGAACCAAATACAACAGTGGGTAAGGATCTTGTTTTCCTACAACAAATAGACTGGGCACCAGAAAGATGGCTGATCCTAGAGACCTTCTTCTATCTAGTCCACAAGTATTTACTGATCTCACACTAAGTACCAAGGTCTGTAGCTGCCCTCAGAGAGCTGCCCTGGTAGAGGCCCAGGCAAATTAACAAGCAAGGTAAGGGTTGAGGCCCCACCAGAAGCAAGGCTCCAAACTAGGTGCTGAGGGGAATAAACCTGATGGAAAGAACTGATCCTTGAGGAACCTGTGATCTCCAGGGGAGACCAGACAGAGACAGGAAAGATCCACAGCAAGAGAGGGAAAGACGATGAGCACAGGTAAAGGGCATGGTGGAGTGCTGTTGGCTTTCTGAGGAGGGAGGCTCACAGAGGACTGGAGAGTCACCAAGGAGGAGGGCCTAGGTAGGTCCTAGAGGATGGTAGGCTTTGGCAGAGAGGACAGAAGCAGGGGCATACCAGGACTGACTTCCAGAGAAATTGCTCAGTGCTCTAGATCCCACACAAAACCAAAGCTCTTGGCTAGGGGCTGCTTACCTCAACCTCTGTGGGCCTAGTCAATGAGCCTCACCCTGCCCCCCACCTTCATCTTATAGAATGCCTCCATTTCAGACCCAGGAAGAGCAAGGTGCAAATGGGATTGAATAAGAAAACATCTAGCCTTTTTATAGTGCCAGAGGGAGACCAGGCTATTATTATGCCAAACTCAACCCCACAAGCCCCCTGAATAAAGCCCTCATTACAGAGTATCTTTGTGCCTGAAGACAAGAATGGGAAATAGAATTCCCTTTCAGAGACATAGACAGGCATGGGAGAGGGGACAAGAAAAGAGCCAAATGAACAGTGGAGAATGGTGGGTCTTGTGTCTTTCATACCTACACACACACATACACACGAATGCACACGCACTTCACCGCAGAAAGAGAGTGAGGATAGATTCACATTATGTGTGTGTGTGCAAGGGATGGATTCAGAGGGAGCAGGACTCAGCCTGGCCCAGATGAGCACTAGTCTGAGAGGAGGGCCTTGTTTCAGCATCTGGGGGACAGAACTCTGCAAGGACAGCCCAAGTCGGGAGAGGGAGATGGTGCTGGGGAGACACCTTAGAAACTGAATTCTGCAGAAACAACCAGAGTCACATGTTTACAAGCGTGGAAACTTTGTTGTTGTTGGGTATCATTGAGTGAATTCTGATTATAGTAACTCCATGTGACAGAATAGAATAGCCCCATAGGGTTTCCTGGGCTGTAATCTTCACGGAAGCAGATCACCAGGTCTTACTCCTGAAGACCCACTGGGTGGTTTAGCAGCTTAGTACTTAACCACTGAGCCAGCAACTTTAAACACAGAGGATTGCCTGGGGCCCCTTTCCCCAGAAGGAGCTTGTTGTTGTTGTTATGTGCCATCAAGTCGGCCCTGACTCATAGCGACCCCTCCTTGGGTTTCTGAGGCAGTGTCACTGCGGAAGTAGGATTGCCCAACCTTCCTTCTGAGGAGTGGCTGGTAGGTTTGAACCGCCAGCCTTCTGGTGAGCAGTCAAGTGCCTTAAGCACTATGCTACCAGAGCTCCCAGAAGGAGCTTAGTGCTGTACAATCAGAACTTCCTACATTACTGCATGCATCCCTGCACCATAAAGAAGGGTAAGTGATATAAATATACACATATATACCTCAAATTGTATAATGTCTCCTGTGGTGAACCAAAGTATATAAGGGACAGGGAGTGGAGAGGTGGAGAGCAATCTGCCCTGATGGGAAATAGTATTTTGTCACTGACATTGTTTAGAATTACTGGTGCCCTGTGGTAATTGACTCAATGGCAATGAGTTTGGTTTTTGGTGTGATAATGAAAAGTAGACTGATTCTTCCATTTGTTTTATTATTGTTTTTAAATTCTCTCCAAAAGAAAAAACAATGCATCCCTTACGGCCTACACCCAGGTCAGACTAGCCTCCTGCTCTTTGCCCTCCTACCCACAGCCCGTACATCACTGAATGGCTCAAAAACAGTCAAAGTTTATTTCTTGCTCATATAACAATATTGGCAAAGGAAACTGCTGGCCAGAGCAGTAGCTTCCTCCAAACGGCAGGGACTCAGGCTCTGATAAATGTGGCAAGTTTCCACCACACTTTGCATAGATAGAGAGAGCCTTAGGTTGTAGAATGGTGGGTTAATCACCCCACCACTGGAATTTTCTATTTAAGGACTGCGGAGGGTGAGAGTCAGTAAGTAGGAGAACATACTACTTCTCTGCTTGGCCTCTGGTTTAAGTGTAACCGGATTTCTTTCCTTCCTTCCTTCTTTTTAAATTCATTTTCCATACAGGAGTTCATACACATTTTGTTTCATGGCATTCACTGCAATTCCCCATAATGTAACAGCTCTCTTTCCATTTCTTCCCCATAGTATTTCTTCTGTGTCCTTCCCTACCACTCACTCCCACCACCTCCACCTGGCAGCTATCTCTCTGTGCAAACACTGCCCTTCTGGTCTCCCATTGATTGCGCCAAGGAGAGTATCATGCTGATGTAAATGTTCACCCCATATGCCTGTCTATTGTTTGGCTGAAGCCACAGGAGAGACATCACTTCCAGAACTGAAGGATAACTAGGGGCCATAGTCTTGGAGGTCTCACCAGGCTGTATCAGACCAATAAACCTGGTCTTTTTTTTTTTTTTTCTATATGATTTTGAAGGAGCTCTGGTAGCATAGTGCCTAAGGCACTTGACTGCTAACCAGAAAGCTGGTGGTTCAAACCCACCAGCCACTCCTCAGAAGGAAGGTTGGGCAATCCTACTTCTGCAGTGATACTGCCTCAGAAACCCAAGGAGGGGTTGCTATGAGTCGGAGTTGACTCGATGGCACACAACAACATATGACTTTGAGTTTAGTTCCACTTTGTTCTCTCACTCTATCCAGGATCTCCTGCACTGATCCTTTTCTGAGTGGTTGACAGTGGTAGCTGGGCAATATCTAGTTCTTCTGGTCTCATGGTTAATAGATAAATCCTTCACCCTCTACCCAGCCTGCCTGTATCTACTCAGTTTCTGTCCTTCTCTCTCAGGACTCTCCTAGTCTCCACCCCCTAATTTCCACTCAGACCCTTTGTGCCCCTTCCCGCCTTCCAGGTGTCCCCACCTCCAAAACCCCAGTTTCTGGTGGGGTTCTTTGTCTATTTTTCCGCCATGAAGCTGCCCCCACCCCCACCCTCAGTTTCCGCTTGGACCCTTTGTCTATGTTCCTGGGCTTGTCTTGTTCCCACCCTCCCTTGCATTTAGTTCCTCTTCAACACTTAGTATTGGTTCTTTTGAAACAAGCAATCTACCTCCTGCATTAAAACACTACTTAAGTACCCTGCGGAGACAGGATCACTGCCGATGCTACTCTAAGCCTCAGTCCATCTGCAGGATGGATGATTGAATAAAACTTGTTTTTCTAACGATTTACTCTGGTTCTGTTCCTCTCGGAATTCGACACCTAACAATGGTCGTATAGGCTGAGGATCCCATGGTCTATTAGTTCCTTGGACTAATTGTTTCCACGTGTCTTTGGTTTTCTTCATTCTTATTTTCTCTGCATAAGGAGAGACCCATCATTGCGTCTAGATGGCTGCTTACAAGCTTTTAAGACCCCGGTCACTACTCACCAAAGTAGGATATGCAACAATCAATGTTTTTGTGTAGTATATTATATCAATTGCATAGCTGAATTTCTTAATGATGTTGGTAACATTATTAGAGCATGGGGGTTGGGGTGGGAGATCCAGAAAGGAAGATCTCAGCTTGAATATTTTGATATGCTATGCTGGCTCCAGAAGCAAAATTACCAATTCCTGGCCAGATTCTTGCATGTGTGTGTGTGTGTGTGTGTGTGTGTGTGTGTGATTTGGGTGAAAGTTTACAGAGCAAATTCACTTTCCATCCAGCAGCTCACATACACTTTGTCTCATGACATTGAAATTTCCCACAACGCAACAGCTCCCCTCCCACTTCCTCCTCATAGTTACCTCTTCTCTGAGTCCTTCCGTCCCATGCACTCCTGCCCCCTGAGCTGTCTCCCTGTGCATACACAGCCCTTCTATTCTCCCATGATTGTTCTATCCAAGGAGTGTATCTGTTAGGTGTTGGATGCCAAGAGGAACAGAACCAGAGTAAATCATTAGGAAAAATTTTTATTGAATCATCTGTCCGGCAGATGGGCTGAGGGTTAAAGTAGCATCAGCCCCAATCCTGTCTCTGCAGGGTGATTAAGTAGTGTTTTAATATAGGAGGTAGATTGCCTGTTTCTAAAGAAGCAATCCT